AAGGTTGGGTGCCCTTTAGTAGCTTTAAGAAAGGGAGAGAAAGCAAGGGGCTAGTCTGGAGCGTTGCTGTTCCTGTAACACCGGGGGAACCTCTGCAATACCGTACAACACTCTTGGCTTTGGCAGAGCTTGGGCATGCAGAGGTTCAGCTGTGTGACTGGGCTTACAGTGAGGGTTTCTGCTCTTCCTGGAAGGTGGGAGGCAGCATTGGTTGGTGTGAAGCTCATCCTAACAGTAGCTGTTGAAGACACACAAGAAAGAAGAAATCAAAGTTCTTAGTGTAGCATGAAATGGTAGTGGTGGTGGTTTGTTTGTTGGGTTTTTTTATTTTAATTCTCAATACTGTTTTTGTTAATTAAATGCACATTTAAAAGTTGGGGGTGGGGGAAGATGTATGTACAAATATTTTCTTATGATCTTCGTGTGTACAGGAGACCTTCTTCTCGTGTTCATCTCAATTTCTCTAGGAAAACAGGAGGACCCGTGCAGATTTTGTGTTTATATGCTGATGCTTTCTCTGCCTGTTTCTTGCCTTCCTCCCTGAAATCTCTGCCACTGTGTTTGACAGAGGAGTAGATATTCCCCAAAACTGCCAAGTTTTGTGGGTGCAAGTGGGCTGGAAGAGAGACACTATAATTGCCCCTCCAGAAAGACAAGGCTGTAGTGTTAGCTTACATCCTATAGGACGTGACAGAATGAGAGCAAATTTGGCAATAAATTCAGCAACTGTGGAAAATACTGTTGTTGGTGCTGTTGAACCAGAATGCACAACCCAATGGTTGTTTGGTATTTGAAGTTGTGATATTCAGTGGCAATTCTTTTGTTATTACGTGATTGTTCAGTGCTTGCGGAAACAAAATAATTAAAAAATGTGAGTTCTAGTGGTCTGTAATTCGGAAGCAAATAAGGTGAAGAAAATAATTCTGCAACTATGAGACTGTGGTGTGGAATTTGGGAGACTTGAATACAGCTACGTGCTTTACTCAAGATTTCCAGTGCTTTTGAGCAGGTGACCTGATTTCTTTATGCTTCCATTACGACTCTGTAAAAGGAAGAAAATGGCTTTATTCTATTTCCAGGAAAATTGTGAAGATAAATGCCATAAAGGCTTTTTAGGCACTCTGTTTACAGGAGTGGAATTGTGTAAGTACCAAAAACAGAGTAGAAATATAGAATTGCAAACTTCTGGATGTTCACAAATTCCTGATGAATTTTATGATTTTGGGAGCCTTGGTCTTTTGAACAGGGTTGCATTAATGTTTTTAACTCTGTGTTCACTAGGATGTTATCTTGTACAGTTTCTGGTTTTAGCAATCAAGCACTTGGATCTTACAAGGAATGACAGTAATCTTCCTTTTGGCATGGATACATGAATTCTGACTCTTTGTTTTGACTTAACAAGAAATTGTGCTTGTCTTCCTTGTCTGAGAGCTGGGTTGCTGCACCCTTTCTTTCTACTTCCTTTTGTATTCCTGCAGAATACTTGCTGCTGAAATCAAGGACAGGTGGCAGTAGCAAATTGTGAAGGTCCTGTCTGAGGCAACAAAACATAGGAATCAGAAGTTTGTGGAATATCCACAGAGCAGGGCTGAATGAATGCTGAGGCCTGTTTACAATAGAATGTTACTTAACAGGCTCTTTGCTAGTTTTATATATTGATATTTAAAGATTAGGGAAAAGGTTATGGAAGGAAAATATTTTCCTTTTTAAAAATACATTTTTAAATAGTTGTAGCTGCTGTTTTTATCTGTATGTGAATCTTTGTCATACCACTGGAAAAAGATTATTTTTTTTAAAATGGTGGTAACCATTGCTGTGGAACAGTTACCTGAAATCTCTCCTGACTGATTTCTTAGTGTTAGCTAAACACTTCCTACCCTCCTCACTAATTTGAGAATTTCAATTTTTATGCAGAAGAATGTTTTTATTAAAATTCCTTTGTAGTACACAGTCAAATTGCAATGATGTATAAATGCTTAAGTACAAGAGTCGCATTTAAATTTTCTCTGAATAGAATCCTGCTTTACCAAACAGCCTTTAAGTCATTCCTTGTTAATTTGGAATAACTTTTGCTTGTTCACTTAGAGTTTTCTGTTGTAGGAAGAGATTTGATTTCTGCCGAGAAAGATCTGGCTTGACCACGTTTGTTTTCTTTCATAGTATGTAAGAGAGATAGGGAGTTCTGTCTCTCCTCACTGATATGTAAAAATCCACATCTACTTCCACATTCACAGTGAGGACAGGCACTTCCTTGTGTGCCTCATGCTTGCTCTGTTAGGACAGGCAAGAGCTTCATCTTCGTATTTTACTGGATATGTCTATACTGTTAGGTTTTTGTTTGGTTTTTTTGGTTTGTTTTTTTTTTTACACTTTCAATCTAATATTAAGGAAAAAAAAATGTCGCAATGGCGCAGTATGCTTGTGATCCAGTATCTGGCTAAAACTTCTGTTCTGCTGCATAACTCTGTAATGAGAGTAGAAACTTTTCCAGGATAAGAGTAATTGTAAGGTGTCCTTTTACTGGTATATTCACAAGAACACACGCAAAAGTACTCGCAGCTTTTTTCATTTCTGTTTTACCAATTTCAAATAATTGAATGTTACACAGTAGTACATGTCTTGCACTGACCATGATTTCTGTATTTTGAAGTTGGGTCAGGAAATGACCAATTTCATGTCATAATCCAACACATGGCATAGGCAAATAATAAAGGAAACTGCAGTTGGACTGAGAGTTTTCCTATTTTAGAATAATTTCAGTGTTTAAAAACTCAGCTGACTAACAGCTAATGGTTCTGTATGGCATATTCATTCAATGGGGAAAACATGGCTTTTGTGTCTTTGGGATGGGGCCTGGCTGAGTGCTGCTTTACCAGACCATAGCTCTTCTGGTGTTTAGAAAAATTTGTGTCTGGATGCATTTACCGTGTGTACTGTGTTCCGTCAGCCACTGAATCTTCTTTTGGCATGTGTACCTGTCATGAAGCGGCAGGAGCTGCACCACTTCTTATAAGTCGAAGACGTTCATGGGACTTGAAGGTTTTCTTGTGTCTTAAAACCAAATCCCAAACCTTCTTTCTGATTATATAAACTCCACTGTTTTCTTTATGACTGAGAAATGCTCTGCTTTTGGTCTTTGCTGTGCTGCTTTGGTATTTTCCCCATAGTATTACACCACTGTAAAATGTAGCTTCCCCCCAGTAATTCTCATTGATACTGAGGTGTGTTTTTTAATGTAGATGGAGACTGTGTACGTGTGTTGCTCAACTGTGAGATTGTAGAATAAAATACATATTTCCTGGAGATCTGAAATCTAATGTTGTAATAATTTAATGATTTGTGTACATTGTTGTATTTCTTACAGTACAAGTGCTCTTCCTTCCTTATAAATCCACTCCACGCCCTAAAAGACCTTAATATTGGATGTACTGTACTGTCATTAAGATGCAGACAAACATGAAAGTGTCACTATTGGAGCAACGAAAGTGATGAGAGGCTTAAAAACATGTGCTGTGAGTAAAGGCTGAGAGAATCATTTTTGTTTAGGAAAGAGAACATGGCAGGAGCAGAGGTGGGAAATACAGTGGTCTTCAGACATGTCTAAAGGTATTACAGATGGGATGCGTTGATGTGGCACTCGGGGACATGGTTTAGTGGTGTACTTGGCAGTGTTAGGTTAACGGTTGGACTTGATAATCTTAAGGGTCTTTTCAAACCTATGATTCTATGATTTTATGGTTTATGGACATGTGGTCACTTATGATAAAGAGTAGGTAGAATTTCTAATCATCCGAGTATTTAGACATCTGAGCAAGCAGCAGAACACAGGTAATACCGTCTCATCCACTAGTGTTTGATCAAGAAATTTTAAAATTTTCCTTTAGAAAGAGTTTTCTGTGTGAACATATTTTGCTCAATGTTACTTTACATTTCATCTTGCTCTCTTTTGTTCATAGCTTTGGAGGTATGTTTCAACCTTATGTCTGAGATACTCAAGCATCAAACAGAAAAGCTAGTATACAACAAGTCTGTTTAAGGTTCAAGGAAGCTGTGTCTGGATTTGCCTTTTTTTGGCTCTGGTCAGAAGTATTAGATGAGCACATTTACTGAGCTTTCCTGTAGCAATGCCATAGATACTCTTTGGTGTGGCTTCTTTTTACCAGCATGTAGTATCAAAACTGAGTTAGCAATGTTTGTAGTATGTCTCATCTTTCTGAACATAAAATCAGGGGAGAGGGTATGCGAATATCTATAGTTTGGAAACATTGTATGTATCTGTGTGACAGATCATCTGCAGGTGTGCACGTCTGTTCTGGGAAGTTTAGTGAAGCTATGTGGTGCAGCAGCATCAGCTCTCTCATGGATTCATATAGCATCTGTCTTATGTGCTTATGGTTTTGTAGTGTTGTTTTCCTAGGTCTTGATACTCTAAGAAGTGCATGGTATTTTTTTTTGTTTGGGTAGTTTTCTGCTGAAGTAGACAGAGTTGACTTTCACCCTTGGCTTTGACGCTAGGGCAGCCACGGCGTTCTTTGCGACTCTTTCTCCCTCTGGTGAAATTTGCGGCAGACCTAATTTATAATGGAACTTCTGATACCTTCTTCTTCTGAAACGTTAGTGCTAGACATGTAAACTGTGTTCATTAATTAAATCAATTCCTGATTCTTAAACCAACTTGCAGTCATGTATAATAATGCCAGCTATATGCATTAGGGAGACTTTGTTCATTTTTTTTTATTCCAAAGAGCTGTTGGAAAGCTGTAGGAATGCTAAGGCAACACAACTCCCTCACAGCTCCTTTTCTGAAAAGGCTGGTGGGACAATTGTGTGCATGTATTTTGCTCTTTCTACATGAAAGAACTTGTATACTAAGGATAGTTACAGATAGATGCAGAAGCAACTTTGGGTTTACAATAAAAAGCGTAACTGTCATAATATGATACTTTTTGATAGTGGCACTTTTTTTTTTTGTTCACTACAAATTTATTTATTTCAGAGAAATGGCAGAAGAAAGTGTATTTCGGAATCTCCTGGAAATCCTGATGAGCGCCTCAAGTGAAATTGAGCAGGCCTGCAAGGGCTCCTGTGAATTGGTAGATCTAGACACCTGCCTGCTGCTCATAGCAGAGTGTTTCAGATGTCTGAGGAATGCCTGTGTTGAGTGTGCCAAGAATCAACATGTCATGAGGTATAGTTATGATCCATTTTAACCCATACAAAAATATAACCTTCTGATGTTTGTGTGGTTTTATATAGAGTTTCTTATTTTACACTGCTGTGTTAGTTGATTTATTAACTGATATTTCCTGCTTGCAATCCCTTGAAATGAAGTATGCAAGGAACAAAAATAGCTGACCTATTTGTAGGTTAGAGTTTGGGGCACAAACAAAGTGTTTGTGTCCTTAATGCGAGTTGATTATGCAAACGATACAAGCCCTTTGGAAGTCTGACTGTCGAACTGTCTTTTTTTCTCATTTGTTTAAATAATAAGTAAATAGTCTTAATTATCAGTTACAGGATTAGTATGGGTTTTTTGGGTACATTTAGGTCTGGCTGGCACTCATGGCAAAGTATAGCATGTAGAATTGTGCATATCAACCCTGATACATATGTAGGTAATGTGATGGATAATAAGAAGTCATCTGGTTTCTCAAAGTTATTTAGCTTTTTTTTTTTTTTTTTTTTTTTGCCTGTGTCTGTTGCAACATTGAGGGGATGCTTGGGATATGGCCAGCGGTAGTTACTGAAAACCTGGTAGTCTACCTTCTGTTTTTTTTTTAAAAAAACAACCAACAAACAACCAGAAAGCAACAAGTAACATCTCCTTCCCCCAAGAACCCAAAACCAACCAACAAAAAAAAAGTTCCAAAAACTTGTTACAAGTTTGTTAGGTCATGAAGAAGTGTTGTGGAGAGCAATCTTAAAATATGGTTTCTTGGGACTTGTCAAATTTATCAAACTAAGTATAAATTTGACATGGGACAAAGTTGCAACTTCTGTGCTGGGGCAGAATTTTCTTAATGCCACGAAAGTTGTAGGAATTTTCGTAGAAGGCATTAGTTTTAGAATAAGGTAAATCTAAGTCAGGCTCTTACCTTTTTTTCATAGCAGTGATCATGTTGTGGGTCAAGGAACTGATCTGACAGAAAATTTACGTGTACATTTAGCCAGACTGGGTTCATTATTGTAACTTATTGCAGCTCCATTGTTAGTCATGTTAACAAAACAGGGGGAACAGAATTATGTGGCTGGGAGATGGTAGGATTGACCTTTTCAGTAGCATGACAAATACAACCTAGTTACGGATATCTGAATGCCATTAGAAACTAAAACCTAAATTTAACTTTCTAATGGCATTCAGATATCCAGCTGGCTTCTGAACAAAAATGTGTTATACCTGTGCTGCGTACTTGCCCTCACTAGGCAGTTAGCATAGCCTTGCTCATTTAGGAAGCTGGATGCTAATAATTGTACTAATAATTGTGCTAATAATTCCTTGGATTCAGGAAGGAGAAGGCCAGTGTGGGTAGAAAGTGCTGACTGTGTTTCCAACAGTGAAGGATTCAGCGAGTCACTCACGGATACTTTGTAGTAGCATAACAATTTATACTCCTTTTAGTATCGTGCTGGGTGCACTTCCTGGTGTGTATGTTGTCTATCTCCAGGATTGCTGATCTTTGGCTGTAGAATTATTTTGGTGGTTTTGATTCCAAATGGCTTAATTTCACTGGTTTATCTTCACTATCACCATGTTTTTCCATGTCTGGAAGTGTTTAAGGCCAGGTTGGATGGAGCTTTCAGCTACCTGATGTAGTGGAGGGTGTCCCTGCCTATCGCAGGAGGGTTGGACTAGATGATCTTCAAAGGTCCCTTCCAACCAAAACCATTCTGAGATTCTACCTGTGATTCCTTCTCACTGGAGTAAGGACAAACAATTACTTGAGCTTCCCTGCTTCCCTCTGAGAGTTTTGTATGTTTCCCTTTGAACTGGACCTGTTGTTTATTTGATGGCTGTCGCTAATCACTTTGTTAGTACTTAAAATCCTCAAAATTTATTACTGGGTAATTTAAAGTTTATTACTAAGTAACATACATTGACACTTTCTCTGAACACTTGAACTTGAAACAAAGCAAATACAAATAAAGCTGTTTAAATTGCAGGAATAACCTGCTAATTTTTAACATCTGATTTAGAAGAATAGCAAAGAGAGAGGAAAGGGTACTTAGCTCTGAAGGTACTGTGTGCAAAATTGTTATATGTGCAGGCTGATGCAGTAAACCCATTCCTTTTGCTTCTGATGGTAGTAGTGTGGCTATTGATAGTCAGGCACAGTTACATAGGATAAACTGCCTTTTATTTCAGAGTTTCTGAAGATGTTAAAGGCTTGCTGTTAACTTCAGTGAAAAACCTTTTCCCCTTATTTGAGTGTATTTCAAGTGATGGTTTTTTTTCTCCCCCAATTTAATAATAGGAACTTGGGTCTCATCTCTACGTCTGTCCATTTGATCAAATTGCTTAATGGAATACAAATCAAAGAAGAATTGTTACTGACTGGTAAGGCTGTGGATTTTGTTAAATACATATCCCGGGCTCTATGTGTATATAATTTTTCTTTTTTTACATGGGAAGTCTTGTGGTGGTATGATGTCACCTTACTGATGCATTTTTTTCATAAATAAGCTTAATGTTTTTTTTTTCCTGAATTTCTTGAATTGCAGTTAAGAATTGGGGGACCTTCTCTTGTGCTGCTTGGAAAAAAACCTTGGCCCCAAGTCTAGTCCAATTGTATTTTCCCCTCAACTGTTCCCTGTAGATTGTTAAAGGAAAGATATATGGAAACTTCTTTAAAATTAACCAGGATATTTGAATTGCAAAAAGTAAAAGTTCCTGTAATACCTCCATTCAAAATATGTTCTGCTGTTTGACTGTCTTTTTATTTTATCTGCGAATGTAGTGAAATGAAGAAATCCTCCTTTTTTTATTTTGATGACATTTGACATAATTTATCGAATTCCAGGAAACAAATTTTGGCTGTGACATTTTTAAAATTATTTTTTAATTTTCATTTCTGTACTGTGGTTGCTGACCAGTCAGGCTAATATCTGCCAGGAACTAAATACTGATTTGAGTAGTGTTCATGTTTCCTTAATGGATGTGATTTTTCTTTTCTTTTCGTGCAGTGAAGAGAAAATCTGAATGTAGGATCCTTCCTCTTTAATGGCAGTTATTGCTACCGATTTCTATCAAACTCATTTCACTGGATATTAAGGCATTTTCAGTAATTCTCTTCACAATCTGTGTTTCCCTATGTGTGCATATGGAGCTTTGTACAGGGTATTGGACCCCAGTCTTTAGTAGGGAACATTTGGTTTCTCTTGCTACTTTTATTTCTTTTCACTCCTTTTACTTAAATGAGGTTTTTACTGGGTTCCTGTTGCTGCTTTTCTGACATTTTGTGAAAGCAAGTGAAACTACTGTGATGCAGTAACTTACCCTCAAACGCCTTTATGAAGCTGGGAAAGAGCAGTGAAGTTCAGGATACTGTTTTTCCTTTTGCTGCTATATTTGGCTCAAAATGAAGCCTTCAAGGCATGTAACGGTATTATGCTTAAGCCATGTTCACTCCTTCACCCATTGCTGGAATCCTTCCTCCAGGGAAGGATCAGTGATGGTAAGCACAATCATGTGGGAGGACCAGAACAAAACGCTGTGGGTGGCAAGAAGGGGGCTTTGCTCAGTGATCATCAAGAGGAGGAACTGATAGCACACAGGAGTGACTCTCAAGCCGTGTCACCGGGTCAGAGAGGGAGGACTGGGAAGAGGCATGGAGGGCAAGAATATCCTGCCCCACAGTTGTGAACCCCTTCATAGACCAGTAAAGAGAAAAGGAAAAGTGATGGAAACGAACATGCTGGTTTTGTCCAGCCTGACGTTGTCCCTGGTAGGGTCCTTGACAGCAGTAAGCTTGAAAGGCTGTCCTGGAGAAGCGGACTTCTCACCTTCAGCGTATTCAAAGCATCAGGAATTGCGGTGTAAGAATACTACCTTGCAGTGGTTCCTCCCAGCACCTGTAGGGGAGTGAGCAGAACGTACCCCTTGTTGGTTACATGCATGGCCTGAGGTTTCCCCTTCAGTCCTGTGACTGCTGACCCCTCCTTGATGGGTATCCTGTGCATGTGTGTTGCTGTGCTGCTGCTGGGATCTGAAGAAGCAGCAGTGAATGTTACTCAGCAAAAAAGAGAGGAGGGGGTGGAACGCAGTAATTTGATTAACTGCTTCAGCCTCCTTTTCCTAGCCAGAGGATGTTGTAAAATCTCTTTTTGTCACCATTGAAAATTAAAGAGGGTATTGACCAGAAAGTTTCTAACAATATTTCAATAAAAAGTGTTTTGTGACCATTACTCTACATAGCCATTCAACAAATGAGTTTGAGTTACTACTAAAATTTGATACATGACCCAGGATAGATGCTTCATTTGATGCTGTGTGTAGTATTGATCTCATTGGGAAACAACTGTGGTGAGCATGGCTTAGGTGTTCCATAGACAAGCAAGTGTTGCTAATTCCTTGCCGAGTGATCTGATGAGCTTTGTTCTAAGTGAAAATAAAGCTAGTGCCTGGAGGCCCAGCTCCTTTTACAGGGTATACCTCAGAAGTTAACAGTTACGTTCAACTGTGCGTTATTAGTTGTACTTTCAAAAGCGAGGCAAATTGCTAAATTGGACTGGGATAGCACCTTTGAAACAAAAGGAACCTGTGAAATTGGTAAATGTTACTATGTTTATTAACTATATTTCTACTTTGATTCTCCTCATATTTCATATAGGAAACTCGGTCACAGGGCTAGAGTAGCATGTGTATTTTGTTCTAGCAGATAATCGGGTGTTGAGTGGAATATTTCAAGTTGTTTGTTTGGATGTGTGTCCCATTTCCTCATTTAAATGGCTTCTTGCATTTGATGATCCCTCTTGGTGCCTATTTATATTCTTAAGGTATTTTAAATACCTTCATGTTGCTTCCATAGCAACAAAATACAAGGATAAAGAGGTAATGCTGTATCACAGAGGAAACAACACTAAATAATATTTCGATTCGTGTCCCTGTGAAAAATTCCAAAATCAAATAATTGTAGGCTAAATAAATTTGAAGTTCCAACATTATTGTACTTATGAAGAAAAGAGACTGAAAATTCTTTATGCAGACTGAAAAATTATTATCACCTGATCTGTGGTATGTTTTCATTCTTACCCATTGGTAACTGTTAAGACTGGTAAGTTTCTGAGTAGTTTGGAAATTTTTGTAGGAAAGTTTTTAGTGTAGTGCAATTTGTAATGGATAAAACCAGAAATGAAATAAAGTATATATTCTCTGGCCACTACTGTGACCAGTGTGGTAGTTTTAAGGGAGGGGACGAACTGCCTGTTCTAGCAACATATGTTAAAAGCAGCAAAGAACGAGGTGCTGTGCAAAGTGCTGTGATTAAAAACTGGTGCTATGATTCATTCAATTAAATCCAGACTTCTTTGCATCTTCTCTAGGAGAAATACTTTTTTTAACAGTTTATCTTAGGCTCAAGTGTTATATAGATGGTTCCTCACTTCAGTGTATTTACTGAAACAACTCTACTGCAAGTTTTCAGCAAATGTCCTTTTTTTTTTAGTGCTGTGAAAAGTTAGATAAAATCCTGTATGCTTGTGATGTACTTGTCCCAGCCAGCTGTGGAAAAAGCTGTTGTCTTGAGTACATGATATGCCACTAAGGCAATGGTCCAGAAAAATTTGAAGGTGAGTTAGCATGCCTGTCCCAGAATAGCTCTTTAAGGCCTCAGATAGGTTTAAAAATAACAAGTTAATTCATACACATGGCATATAAAGATTGTCCGACCCCACCTGCAAGCCAGCCATTCCTGTAATAATATTCTCCTTTCTTTTTAATACATATATAAAAGAACTTTTTTAGGCCATTCCTGTGTGGTGCTGCTACAGATAGCTGTCCCCACTCTTCCTCTCCTACTTCCCAAGTTAGTTTTAGTTGTATTCCATGGCCTAGTTTCTCTTCTCATATTTGCTTATGATACATAGTAGTAATTTGTCTTGAGCGATTCATATTTTGTAGTACTTAGAGAAGGGAACTTACTCTAAGGAGTTGCACAGTGAAAGCCAACAGCTAGGTGAGCACAGGGGGTTGATGGATAATGATGCTAAACAAGTGTTTAACAATTTGTAGCCGCCCTTCTGGGCAGCATCAAGACTGATTTGTGTCACGTAAGTCACGCAGACTTGTAAATATACTCTGTTTTCTTATTACTATAGCAGCCCTCCCTCCTCCTGTCTGCTAGAGATACAACTTCCCAGTCAAGCAGAGAAAAATTCAAGTGCTACACTTCTTGAATAGTATATGAAAACTGGACTTCACCTCAGCATTCTTAAAACTATGCATACTGAAAGTCTAGGAAGTGGGTGATTGCATAAGGAGGTACTTCACCTCTTAGATTTCATAGCTTGGATATTCCTGGTGGGAAGACAAACCAGATTACAAGTGCTACCCCCCTCTCCCCAGCTCAGAATCAATTTGAATACGGATTGAAGAAGATGCAGGAACTGTACTTGCTTGTGCAGAAGTGCTGCATGAAAGAAGGTCTGTTATATTTCTTTAACTGACTTGAGACCACAGTCTTCTAACAAATAGCTAATAAGACAGTTAAATTTTTACTTGGAGTCTTAGGAAAAATTTAAGTCTCTGCAGAATATAGATCTAATGGAATTTTTATAGTGCCCTCTCCACATCCCTTTTGTTTTAGTTATTTTTTTATTTTTTTTTTAAAAAAAGCCTCATCATAGCAAGCTTTTTTTTTTTCCCCCTGCTGTAGGTACAAAGACCAAGAACACTTACCAGTGGAGCAGGCTGATGAAGCTGCCAGATGAACTTTAAGTGAACTTAAAGCAGACCTAGATCTCTTAAGAGCTAAGAAGTAGTTCAGTATGTTAGGGATTGCAGCAGACATAGGAAATATCCTTGTCAGAAGCCCGAGTAGAAAATCTCCTTCACTTCATAGCATGTGTCTTGGTTTGGTTGTGGGGTTATTTTTTATGATTTTTTTTTTTCCTCTTTTTCCTATGGCAGATCTTAAGCTTTCCAGCAGAATCTAGCAGACCTTTGGGAAGGTGCGTTGAGGTTTGTCAAGATGATGGATCTTTAGATTCCAGAGTGTGAGATCTGGATTTAGGATTCATCTCTGAAATCTGGAATAAAACAGATAGCTTTGTTTCTCCTTACTAAATTGCAGTGAGGGCCTGTTTTGAAGCAAGCTTATGTTCAATAGGCTGTGTCCCATTTGATCCTTTCATTGATTCCCACCCCCACCCCATCCTGGACAGAAGAAGCTTTAATCTTTTTGTTTGTAAATAGATCTTCTCAAACCTTTCACCGCTTCAAAATACTGCCGATACTGAAGAATGTGCTTTGAATTCCAACATAATTGCTTAATTTATCTGCCAAAATACTTTTCTCTCCTCTAGGATGAAAAGGCATTGAATGCCTGATAGCTGCCCTGC